TTATACGGGCTTCCAATAGACGTCTTAACTACTGCATAAAAGAAGAAGACACTTAGCTAAATCTCAGCAAGTATTTGAGTTTTTATACCGTAATTTCATGTAAGGCCCTCAGGTATGGAAATACCGTTATTTCCAGTTGAAAGATTTTGATGACAGTTGAAAACAATCGCGAGAAGTAGAGAAAACAAATTAGCAGAGAAAATGCATGAACAAATTCTCGTTTCCACTGAAAACAAGCTCAATAATTTAATATACAAATTTAAATTATTCAACATAACCTAAACAACAGCAATGTAAATCATCTGTACGTGTAAAAAACAACATTTTTAAGTTTTTTTTACTGCATTCCGATATATAATAAAATGATAAAATGATATATTACCATTTTAAATGTATAACATTTTTTTTGAATATAACACCTACAAATTTCAACATACCCTTAAAAATATATTTTTAATACCTTCATTTTCACTCTGCAAATGCTTCCGATTCTCTTAAAAATTGCATTTGCTCAAGTTTAAGAGCTTTTGTTTGGCTTACGGCAGCAAAACGATTTAAAAAATTATAAGCGCCCACACATATTCAGTTGATGAACTACAACAACAAAAAGTCAATACAGAAATATGCAGCACGCACACACACTCATACAGTGCTCCCCCAAACACGAACACAGGCGCTCTTCCCTCTCCTACTCACTCATATTTACTTACATAAAGCTTAAGTGGCAAAAGTTGTGCCAAAGGCTTACAAAACTCTTGAGGGCCTCCCCCCCTTGCCAATTGGCAAACGAAACCCTTTCCGCAGCTACTGCTCTCTCACTCGCTCTGTCGCCCTTTAGCTTTCCATGGTTAGTTCTCATAACGTTCGCGAAAGTTGCATGCACATTAAAAATTAAACATTCAACATAAATAAATAAATGGTAGCAAAAGTAGAAATAGCAAGAACAAAAACAACAACAGCTGCTGGCGGCAAATCAAAAACTTAGCTGCTGTTGTTGCTGCTGTTGTAGTCACTTTGCTGTTGCACTAAAAGCTTATAAATTATTGTTAAGATGCCATGTTGAGCCATTGCAGAAACAAGAAGAAGAAGAACAAGAACAACAGCTCGATTGGCACTGTCAGGCTTGGTTACATTTTTAACAGTGACGCCTACGTCAACGGAAGCAGCGCAGCAATGTCAAGGATACAGTTACTTGATTCCAAAGCAGAGTTTTACAGTAAGCTGCCTGCGATTTGATGCCTTTGAAAATCTGTCACAATTTGACTTTTGCTTTTCAGTCTAATCTCTTGATGTCAACGACAAACTTTGACTTACTTTTTTGCCCGGGGTTAAAAACTAAGGAAATTATGTGAAATTTAAACAAGAAAATTCTATTTTCACTTAGGGTTGATTGTGCGTGGGTGTGTGTGTGCAATACAAGAATTATATTATTGAGTTACATGTATGCGTGTGTAAGAGACAAATAGAGAGACGAAGCGAGCGAGGGGCATACCGAATGCTTTCTTTATAGACAAACATATCATAATCAGTGGTTTTCCGGCAGGCTGCATTTACAACAAGTACAACAATTTAGCCCAACAGCTGTTGGTCTGGACATTTTCCACCTGCACTGGGCTCCAGTTGCTGCCAGCTAGAGACGGGCGCGTGTCGCAAAATGATGTATATACATATATAACAACATGTTAGCGTTTTTTCTCTCTTCAAAACACTTAAAATTTGGTTTTCTTATTGTTTCATATATTTGTATCATACAAACTGTGACACGAAATTAAATTTCTTAACACGAACAGGTCTTGCAAAAAGGTTCGTGTCACGCGCCCATCTCTACTTGCATTTCACACGGCGGCCAGCTATTTGGTGCTTGTTTGATTACAAGCTGGGAACACAGAGAGATCGTGGGGAGAGACAGCAGAAAGAGAGAGAGAGAGAGATGTAAGGGCAGCTACTTACATACATATTTGCATATGCATTTGTGGGCACCTGCTGGGTCCATCTCCTGTTTTCTGCCCCTCCCCAAATGCTGCTTTGTCACTGCGTCGATTCATGTAGCCGTCGACGTCGTTTGTGTTTGTCGAAAGTTGTGATTTTGCGTTGTTAGTGTTGCTGTTGTTGTTGACATGCTAATAATAATCATATTGGCGCAACTGCTTGGGAACGCAACTCTTAGCACCCAGCAGCCAGTGGCCAAAGTCAAATAACAGCGACAAATTAGCAGAAGAAGAAGAAGAACAGTGGGAAGAGAGCGCACAACAGCTGCTGCTGCTGTTGGGATATGCCTCAAAGGCAGACATTTTTATGCTTATGCCAGACAAACAACAACAACTGCGGCAACAGCAACAGCAACTGCAAACAACAACAAAACGCGCAAAAGCACATAAACTAAGATAACATACGCACAAACGCAGCAGCATCAGCAACAACAGCAGCCGTAGATTTCTTAACAGCGGCAACAACAAATGCACTTCCTGTTATTATTGCTGCTGTTGTTGTTGCAGTGCTGCCGCAACTCCATTGCATTATGAGCTGGCACATGCCTGAGACTCTCTCCAGCTTGTGTGCCTGTGTATTGGAGTGTGTGTGCGTGCGTGTGTTTGCTTAGGTGTATGTTCGCTTGCATGATTTCAACGCCGGCAGCACTTTGCTGTTTATTTACACAGACTTCTTTTACATTATTTCATATGCATAAATTGCCAGCGCACGCAGCCACCCACACACATATGCACATGCACACATACCTACAACTACACCTACACCGAACAACACGCACACAAATAAAGTGCGTGCGCCAAATGAGCGTAATTAAGTGCAAAGTCTTGCTCTACCACTCGCACTCCCATTTACTGTAGTGTAGCTGAATCTGTAGTGTAGCTTAAAAGCAAAGAAGCGTTGACGTCGACTGAGCTGCTGCAGTGTCTGCCGAAATTTTTGCGGCTTCTCTGTGCTGCAATTTTTTCTCCTTGCCTTTTTGGCTACCGAAAGAACGAAGCGCATAAAAAGCAACAAGTAACAAAAGGGAATACACTGAACTAGAGTTTGATAGTTTTTGGAGTCAATAAGCTAACAATTATTTGCATGTATCAAATGCAGGGTATTTCAAAGTCAACGTGACTCATGCTTCATACTTTTTAGATATTAATTCAGTAAAGCAAATAAAAACTTTCGTCTTTCTGACTTTGTGTAGAAATTCTTGTAGTAAATTTTACATATTTTCACTTACCTGATTTACACTTGTTTTTGTAGTTCAGCTTCTGCTGCTGCTAGGAAGCTTATCGAAGTTTCTTTTTTATGTGTATTTGCTTCACTTTAATTTTCTCTCTCTTTGTTCATGTGTTTAAAATGCAAAAAATGCTTTTTACTTTTTGCATACATGTGTTTGTGTTGATTTTGCTGCAACATATTTTTGCTTAATTAAATATTTTGTTAGCTGGCCAAAGAATTTTCTTTGCACATGGCCAAAGGTAATGCACTAAAAAAAATATATAAAAAAAAACACACACACACACTTTCAGCTGAGCTCTGGTTTGTTTGTACAATTTTAATAATCAGCTCTACCGCATTGCCGAGCTTTATAAGCATGAGAGAGAACTATTCAACTGGCATTTACTTTATGTTCACCTCGTCTCTTTTGGCATTTCATCATTTAAATTAGCACACTGTCGCCTTGACGACAGAAGCAGCACTACAACAACAACAAAGGGACACGCAATGCACAGAGAGAGAGAGCGCGAGAGTGAGTGAGTGAATGAGTGAGAGTGAGGACAGAGTGCAAAATCAGACAATAGCCAAAGCTGTGCATTAAACAAAGCGTAGAGCACAAAAGGCTGCTGCTACTGCTGCTGCTGCCCAGCTTGCTGGCATGGCACAAAAGCAATTGACAAATGTACCAAGGTGCGCTGCTCTGCAATACCTCTGCACATACACTCACGCATTTGATAAATGGCATCGTGAAGCTCAAAGCGAAATGAGTGAATAGTGATTTTTCATAGTGATAACAATGACACGATGTGATTTGATTTGCATGCCGTTTCATTTCACAGTTTCTGTGCTGATTCAACTTTTTCGAGCATAACTATATTTGATTTCTTCCACACATTTAATTCTTTTGTTGCTCAATTTTACCATTCTCTTGTTTCACATTCCCTTTCAATTCGCACACCCGTTCGATAGCTGCAAGCGCTCTTCTCCTCTCTCTAACTGTAATATCTCTTCAATCACAGTTTGCAACAGTGTTTTTTCGTTCAGCTCTCTCATTACTATCCGCTTTCAATAAATCTGCAGAACTTAATTTCCGGCTGAATGATGTTACTATCGCCCATTCCTAGTCCTCCCGAAAAACCATCTTCCATTTTCATTCTCCTACAGACACACACACAGACACACACATATTTTTCACCTTTAAGCGCTTTTTGTAATTACATTTCAGCTGTTCTCCATTTCGCTGGCCATTGTTGTTGTTGTTTTGACTGTGCTGCCGCTTTTAATAAAGTTTATCTAGCGTTGTCCTTTGTTTCATCCTTATCGACATGCTGTAAATTTATGTTTAGTCTGCTTCGTCCTGTCCGCTTCTCGTTCTGTCTGCACCGTGGGCGAGCAAATATTTTCTTGAAGTTAATTGAATTTGAGGCGTGGACCAAATTCAAGTGAATTTCATCGCTCCTTAACATAATTTCAGCTCGGATTTTACTCCTTGGGGGGATTTGCTGCAAATAGATGTATTTTCTTTTTCACCAAGAAACTCTAATGGCGCATTAATTGCGCGGCATTAAGTGACAAAACTTGTTTAAAGTAGGGAAGATGTATTGCCAGTCCCTAGAGAGGGCCACTTGAGACACATACATATGTTTGATCTTATGTCTTTTAATAATGGAACACGCTCTTGGTGGTCAAAACAAAAAATCCTCCTAAGTGGTTGACTGCAAGGGCTTACTTTATTATTTCAATTCCTACCACAGCTCAGCAACAATTTTTTAATTTTCCAACTCTCTTTTATCTTTTGCCAGGTGAAAACCCACACATCATCGAACATCCCATGGATACGACGGTGCCAAAAAATGATCCATTCACGTTCAACTGCAAGGCCGAGGGCAGTCCAACACCAACGATTCAATGGTTCAAGGATGGACGCGAACTGAAAACGGATGCGGGCTCGCATCGCATAATGCTGCCCGCGGGTGGTTTATTCTTTCTGAAGGTGAGTTAAGAGACCCAATTCGACTCTATCATTATGTTCGGTTACAGCTGCTGCTATCATATCATGCGAAATTTCATTCGAACTCTTTCGAAACCCCTCCCCCCTCTCCCACTCGCTCTCCACGTCTCGTCTTCTCTTCTCTCGCACGCCTGAGAAACGCAACACATTTGTGCATAAATTTTTGCTCATATTATTTTATGCGCTTCCGATTGGTTGCATTTTGATCGGAAAGTAAAACAAAGTGCAGACAGCGCATAACAATAAAAACAAGAACTGGACGAGATGGGAAGGGGAAGGGCAGGGGGCAGTAACTCACTCTTCAGCTTAGGCCTGAAACACTTGCGAATTGTCTAGCCGAGTGAGCGGCTGTCGCTGAGCATTAGAGATGGGCGAAGTTCAAGAAAAGGGACGCAAAGAGAATGCACAAAAAAGTACAGTAAGAAACAGCGTAGATTTTTTTCAAAGGCGTACAAGGGAAAGAAACTAAATATGGGAATATAAAATGGAAAGTATTTCATATTTATAAATGTACACGTAGTTTCCAGTCAATGGAAGACAGGAAGAAAAAATGTTTTTATGTATAATGCATAAATAAAATTTATATTGGATACTTTCACTCAAAATATTCCAAATATGAATAGATACTAGAAGTTAACAGACATTTCTAGAAATTTCCAGTTCAATTATTTTCCTCCAAGTTTTCATTTCTTGCCCTTAAATATCGACCCGTTCCCATCTCTATTTTCTCCCAACCCCATTTGCCCAACGTGCGTGCACATTTCACAATTTTAGCTAACGAGGCGCAGTGCAGGGGTTCACCCCCCGCCCACCCAACCCCCCTAGATTGCAATTTTTGTCAGTTGGTGTTTTTTTTCGGCTTCTCTTTTTTTTCGGCTGCCGCTGCTTTGTTTATATTACATTTTGGTCAACCCGCCCCCCGCGCAGTTGATTTTCATTAAATGCAACAAAAATTTATTTGATATAAATTTAATTTTTTCTTCTTGTTGGAATTTAACGAATTACTTCGGACTGAGCGAGTTTTGAATTGGGATTTTGTTAAATTGTTGTTCAACAAATGCTAGCGAATGGGTTGCAATATTTTGGACGCCAGTGTCCGGCCGGACGCACTTGAGTGGTCGGAACTGAGAGGATTTTTCAGAGGGGGAGGGGGAGGGGTTTATGTCATTAAAAACCGCCTCGCAACAATTTGCATCATACGCTCGCTTATTTACAGTTACTTGGGCATATCTCGCCCCGAACAGCCCTGGCAATTTGTGATGAGTTCCTGTCCAGCCCACCTCCCACCTCAAACCCTATGCAACCCCCACCCGCAGCAGTTAATTTTTATTGTTTTCAATGGCATTTTGGGCATTTTTGGAGTCGTGCCCCAATCCTAAGTGACTTGTCGGCAAGCTTACAGTTTGTTGCCAATTAAAACTGAAGAGGCCAAGTGATTAAGGCACAACAGACCCTCCGACCTCAACTGGACCCTGGGGTTGTTGTCAGTGTTCGTCTGGATGTATGTAATTCAGCTGTTGTTGTTGTTATATTAATTAAATTAAATTGCGTATACGCAGCGTGGACTGATCAGAGCGGGCTACGGGACAGACAACGGCTAGAGTCAGGGTCGTGGCACGTTTTCACTTTCAGTTTTATTTGATTTTGCTTGAACGAGCTTCATTCTGTTTTGATCTTTGTGCCGGCGACACGTGTCGCACTTAAGCCCCTAACAACTCGTACCAATTCCAGCTTACACATATCTCCAATAATGTATCTAATCATCTTATCTATCTTTCTCTCTCTCTTGCAGGTCATACACTCGCGCCGGGAGAGCGATGCGGGCACCTATTGGTGCCAGGCGAAGAACGAGTTCGGCGTAGCGCGTTCTAGGAATGCAACATTGCAAGTCGCATGTAAGTAGATCACCCAGAAATCCCATAAATATAATATCTTTTCTATATACAAACATCATGATTATACAGTTAAAATACTTTTGCAGAACTAAGTCTAAGGCATTCCTGTACATATTCTGTGATTTTCAGCTAAATCCCATGAGAGTCAAGGGTTGCTAATCCAATCAGCAAAGACTTTTCTTAACAAAACATCTCTATTAACTAGTCAGCTTGATTGATTTCAATTATATTTGCCTTGAAATATTAATTCAGGTAGAATGGATAGCTGAAAGCGCTTAGCACACTCGACAGTGCAAAACATTAATATAACATCCACAGCTTTAAAAATATAAAAACTTTTTCTTTTGTGAAACCTCTTTTTATAACCTCCTGAGCATACCTAAAAATATTAGACAAATCCTGTGTAAATTAAGGGTTGTTAATCCAGTAAATTGAGGTTTTTATAGGCAAAACGGGTAAAGTTTACAGCCTGGATGCTTAAGCTGATTCTCAGAGTTTCTGTAGTCCTTATCATATTTGAAAGGACTTATAAGCAATCAATTTAGGACCTACTGAATGCACTGAGCCTATTTGGTAATGCAAATATCATCGCTAAATCCACAGCTTTGAAAATTGTTTTTCTGCAAAACCCCTTTTTATGAGTTCCTGTGTAAGTCATAAAAATTTTTGCCAAATCCTATGTGAGTTAAGGGTTATTCCAGTAGCTTGAGGTTTTTATTGGCAAACTTGGCTTTTTAGCTCAAAGTCTGGCTGGTTTAGCTGATTCACAGACTTCCTATAGTCTGCACGCTATTTTTCAGGAACTATTAGTTGTAACTTTAAAATGCACTTTATATAAAAACCACAATAGGCACATGCCCGAAAAAGCCACTCAACGACTTTGATGGATTGACGTTGCACATTTACAGCTAATGAACTTTTGTGGCTTGCATTTGGGCATGCGGAGCAACCCTTCTTCAATTCCAAAAACAACTGCATTGCATGTCCAGTCTGAGTTCCTGTTCCTGTTGCCTGCTGCCTGCTGCCTGGTAACTGACGGGCACGTCATGCATTCGCATTGCTTTCTAATTAATAAAATAAAGCATTTCGCAAAAATGTTTTGTAATTGATATCCACAGCAGCAACTGTAGATGGAGCGATTAGAATTATGAGGGTTGAGGTGGGGCGTATATTTTTTGGGGCTGCTGCGCGTTGCCAAGGGCTGTGCCCAAGCAGATTAATTAATATTGCGTTGCCGCAGCCCGAGAAGGATTTCAAATTCGTGCAGTACTTGAGCTCATTTAAAGGGCCGTTGATGGTCTTCACCTGCTTACAATTGTTTATCTTTAACAACATTGTACGGTTGAACATACTTTTTGCCCGGTTCGGATTGTAAAATTCTGAACTTGTTTGCGGAGCAGCTTTGTTGCCTTTGGCGTGCACTGAAGCGCATTATGCGTTTATTGAAGTGCATTTTGCATTTTACATTTTGTATTCTCCATTTAAATACCCTGTACTCGCTGTGGGCATTCAAAAGGTAGCTCGAAGTTGTGTCTGCGTAGGTAACATGGGAAGGGTTTCGTGTTAATATCTGAAATATATTTTCTGTCACCTATATGAAAGCTGTTTCCAAGGAGAATAGATATAGATAAAGAACGGATTTTTGGTACGCATATATTTAAAAATAAATTTTTTTTTGAATGAAGTTAAAAGCTTTTTCCTCGAAGATAACATATGGATATAGCACAAATCTTTGGTATGCACATATCTAAGTTTACCATCTTTAAGTTTCGAAAATTTCAGAATAATCGCATAATAAACATATGAGTTATTTAATAATAAATTTCAATAATATTGTTTAAGCTCTAATACCAGGGCTGTAGGACGATTAATCGATTGTATCGACAGATATATCGATAGGTTGATCGATGCTTCAAACAGTTGTTAAACACATTTATGAAGAGAACTTCAGATCTTGACAAAGGTTATTGTTAATGCCTTGTTATATTTGTAGTTGCAGGGTAACAGCTCGTCGAGCACACCCGCACATTATCAATTTTTCAATTTCTGTTTGTGAAATACGAATAAAAAAGCTGGAAAAAATACGCATTGCAAATGCCAAAGCTTATTAATATTTCAGCAGCTCAAAGCAGCAGCAGCAGCAGCTCAAAGCCTGGACAGCACATCATTATCAAGGCTTTATTGGCATATTGAGTGGCAGGCAAAGGGGGCGTGGCGGGGTCATTTCAAATGGCAGACGCATTAAGCATGAAGAATACTCTCTACGCCAGGCAACACTGCAGGCACTTGACCCAAACGCAAAGGGATAAAGCAAGTGCTGCAGCACGTTGTCCGACCGATGCTCACCTGAGCGTGTCCTTAGCCCGACAGTTATTAATATTGAATCAATCAAAGCTTAACCGGAAAAACCCCACCATCTGAGCACTCGCTTACCCGCTCTCCAACACTTACTTGCTCTATTTCAGTTTTGCGCGATGAATTTCGACTGGAACCGCAAAACACTCGGGTGGCCCAGGGCGAGGTGGCGCTGATGGAATGCGGTGCACCGCGTGGCTCACCAGAACCGCAAATCTCCTGGCGCAAGAACGGACAAACTCTGAATCTGAGCGGCGGCGGCGGCGGTGGCGGCAACAAGCGCATCCGCATCGTCGATGGCGGCAATCTGGCCATACAGGATGCCCGTCAGTCGGACGACGGACGGTATCAGTGTGTGGTCAAGAATGTGGTGGGCACACGGGAATCGGCCACCGCCTTTCTCAAGGTGCACGGTAAGTTTAAACCCCATTAATCTCCGCCTCAACGCTGACTTTCCTTCTCTTTCTGCAGTGCGTCCTTTTCTGATACGCGGTCCACAGAATCAGACGGCTGTCGTAGGCAGCTCGGTTGTATTTCAGTGTCGCATTGGCGGCGATCCTCTGCCGGATGTCCTGTGGCGACGCACCGCCTCCGGCGGCAACATGCCTTTGCGTAAGTATCTATATAAATATATCTTTATAGCATATAGTTAGTTAATTAAGCGGAAGTGCCCGTCGGTCATTTTGTTAGTTTGAAATTTAAGCTTTTTGTTTACCATATTTGCATGCCCCATCCCCCTAATGAGGGGGGGCGGGGGAAGGGGTGGCAGCAAAAGCTAGTGGCAAACGTCACAACAAAAAAAATTGTTGGTTTTATGCGGTTGCTTTGGCCTTTGGCCTGTGGCTTTTCATGTTTGCACTGACGGCATTTGCTGAGCTACACTGAGAGAAACGAAGCAAGCGAGGCATCTGAAAGAGATAGCGAGCTGCTAAGAATTGGAGCTGATCAAGATCATGGAGAATCTACCGATTTCTTCCTCAGTTAATTTGAATAAGAGCTGTTGTGCTGGATCCTATGTCTCAAGCTTAGGAACAATCACATATACACAGTTTTCTTTTAATAATAATAGTTCTTGAGCTGGTTCATAGAATTAAATTTTATGAATAAGGCTTCTAGCATCGCTTCTCTCTTAATGCCAACAATTTGGATTGAATTAAAATAGAAAATCCGATTCAACTTCTTCAAAAGATACTTCCGATATCCCATATTCCATAGGAATTATATTCGATCAGTAGCTGAGACTATTTCTAATTAACCTTAGAAAGAGTGTAGAGGCTTTTCTCTTGGATTTTGGATTAAACAAGAAAACCGACTCCAACGTCTTTCTAAGATGTACAAAACGCTATTCCATATTCCATAGGTATAGTATTCCATCAGAAGCTCAATCAATTTTTATTTACATTGTTTCGCTTCTCTCTTCATGCCAATAATTTGAATTTAAATAAACTATAAAGTCCGTTGCAATATCTTTTTAAGATCCACACAACGATATTCCATATTCTATAGGAACAATCTTCCATCAGTAGCTGAGTCCATCCATTATTATCCTAGAAAATAATGTGAAGGCTTCTCTCATCGCTTCTCTCTTTATGCCAACCATTTTTAATTAAATTAAACTAGAAAAGGTGCACACAATGATATTCCATATTCCAGGGGAACGATCTCTCTCTGCAACAGATCTGTTCAATTTCAGCCCCATTTGTCTCTTCTTCAGAGCTTTTTCAAAATTTCTCTCAGTGTAATAAACACCTAGTACAGTGACAGTCCGTTAGTTGTTGTTGCTAGTGTGATTGTGCTTGTGGGCGATGGCAACGCACACCAGCCCGCCCTCCCCCCTCACCGCACAGTCCGCACTGTGTGTAAACACAACTGTAACTTTTAATTCCGTTAATTGCCAATCTCTGTTGGTAGCAATCAACAATTTTGCTTGCACAACACTCGACTGTTGCAATGTTGTCCTTCAGACGGGACAGGACGCACCCCCAAAGAGTGCAACCAACCAGCCAAGGGGAGTGTGTCCAGCGGGGAGATAGTGGGAAAATGCTCAGCACACACACACACACACATCCCCAGCCCCAGCCCCCTCTCAGCTAGCTAGTTACGCTTCTTTAAACTGCCCTACGCAGCCAAAAGCCGTAAAAGAAAATACGGTAAAAACACATTCCGTCAGCTAACGGGACTTCAAGGTGGCTCAGCTCTTTGGGGGGCGGGGCTAAACTTTTGTTAAGCAAACAATTGGCACAGTGGCCACTGAAGGAGCAGCAACAACAACAACAACATTTCAGACCTATTTCGCAGTCAGGCAACCAACCAAAAAGAAAGCAAAGCTCTCTTTTAATGCCCTTGCGTAGGGTATTTTAGCTAAGTAACCAGCTACGTAGGGTATTTTAGCTAAGTAACCAACTACGTATTTTATTCTGTTCTAAATAATATTCTGAAGCTGTTTCCAATTTTCTTTTGCTAGAAGAGAGTACAGTGGCTTTTCTCTTGGATTTTGGATTTAGCTAGAAAATAGACTCCAACTTCTTTCTAAGATGCACACAACGATATTCCATATTTCATAGGAATAATATTCCCTGAGAAGTCAATTTTTATTTTCCTTTTTTCGCTTTTCTCTTGCCCAAAAGCAATTTAGAGTATCATAACTCTATCATAAACTGGGATCAATTGGATGAAAATTAAATTCCACCCGAATATTCCATCCAAAATCGTTCGGTGCTGAAATCAAGGGTTAGGGCATTTCAGCTTCGGCTTGCCGAGCATCTACTTTCTCTTGTTATTCGTCTGCTGGTGCTTGCTGTTGTCCTCTATCTTTTATTGTAAGACACGACCACAAAAGCTGGCTCAATGTGTGTAACAACCTCCTTGCTTTGCCCCCTACCCCTGATGTTGCAGCACTCGTCTTGGCTTGGCTTTGCTGCGGTTGTTTGAACTGCTCGGCAGCGCCGTCTTGGCCATTTTTACGCTACTTGAACTACTAACGAAGTTGAAGAAGACAGCGTCTGATGACGTTGGAGTTAGTTGCTCGTTTTTGGCTTGAACTCACATGGCACCACCGCCTGCCTCTTCTACTCTACCTACTCCACTTACAGGTCGTGTGCACATACTTGAGGACCGCAGTCTGAAGCTGGACGACGTCACGCTCGAGGACATGGGCGAGTACAGCTGTGAGGCGGACAATGCGGTCGGCTCAATTACGGCCACGGGCATACTCACTGTGCACGGTAAGTTAATTGATCAACCCCCACTCGATTCCTAAAAACTAAACTCCTAACTCGAATCCGCTATTCACACAGCACCACCCAAATTCATTACACGACCCAAGAACCAGCTGGTGGAGATCGGCGATGAGGTGCTCTTCGAGTGCCAGGCCAGCGGTCATCCGCGTCCCACATTGTACTGGTCCGTCGAGGGCAACAGCTCCCTGCTGCTGCCGGGCTATCGGGATGGCCGACTGGAGGTCACCCTTACCCCGGAGGGTCGTTCGGTGTTGTCGATTGCGCGCTTTGCTCGCGAAGACTCCGGCAAGGTGGTCGTCTGCAATGCCCTGAATGCCGTCGGCAGCGTCAGCAGCCGTACTGTGGTCAATGTGGACACACAGTTCGAGTTGCCGCCGCCCATTATCGAACAGGGTCCGGTGAATCAGACGCTGCCGGTGAAGTCAATTGTAGTGCTGCCCTGCCGTACGCTGGGCACACCGGTGCCCCAGATATCCTGGTATCTGGATGGCATACCCATCGATGTGCAGGAGCACGAGCGTCGCAATTTATCCGATGCCGGCACGCTGACCATTTCGGATTTGCAGCGACACGAGGATGAGGGCCTGTACACATGTGTGGCCAGCAATCGCAATGGCAAATCCTCATGGAGCGGCTATTTGCGCCTGGACACGCCCACCAATCCGAACATCAAATTCTATCGCGCCGCGGAATTGTCCACGTATCCGGGCCCACCAGGCAAGCCACAGCTGGTGGAGAAGGGCGAGGACTCGGTTACGCTAAGCTGGACGCGCAGCAACAAGGTGGGCGCCTCCAGTCTGGTCGGTTACGTGGTCGAGATGTTTGGCAAAAATGAGACGGACGGCTGGTTAGCCGTGGGCACACGCATACAGAATACCACGTACACCCAGCTGGGACTGGTGCCGGGCGTGAACTACTTCTTTCTGATACGCGCCGAGAACTCGCACGGCTTGTCCCTGCCCAGTCCCATGTCGGAGCCCATAGCTGTGGGCACGGTAAGTCAAGAGGAGTCAGGGAGAGAGAATTTCCACTCTAAAACTAGCTAACTTTTCCTGCCCTTCCATCTGCACAGCGTTATTTCAATAGCGGCCTGGATCTGAGCGAGGCACGCGCCAGCCTGTTGTCCGGCGATGTTGTGGAGCTGACCAATGCCAGCGTTGTGGACTCCACCAGTATGAAGCTCACTTGGCAGGTTTGTAGCTAACCAACCAACCGACCGACCCCAGCCCAACTGCAGCGCAGTCTAACCCCCCGCTTCGTTTACACATGCAGATCATCAATGGCAAATATGTCGAGGGCTTCTACATCTATGCGCGCCAGCTACCAAATCCCATAACAAATATGGTAACAGCCAATACGAATCCATTGCTGGCCTCCAACTCTGCCTCCGCCTCCGCGTCCGCCTCGGCTTTGATTTCGACAAAACCAAATATTGCCGCTGCCGGCAAACGTGATGCAATGGATGCCCAGCAGCAGGAACAGCAGACCCAGAGCCAAATCCAATCCTCGTATGCCAACAAATATCGCATGCTAACCATATTGAACGGCGGCGGCGCCTCGTCCTGTACGCTGACAGGACTCCAGCAGTATACGCTCTATGAATTTTTCATTGTGCCATTTTACAAATCCGTCGAGGGCAAACCTTCAAATTCGCGCCTGGCGCGCACCCTCGAAGATGGTGAGTATTCCATATCCTTTGCTTCTTTGATGTATTATTTATGTGGAGCCAAGTAGGCAAATATGCAGTTGTCTATTGCCCGCCCGGCGCCTAATGAACCGGCTAAATCGCAGCGAAATCTAACAAACCATATAAATGCCTACACAACCAACCAACCAACCAACCAACCCCCAGCAACAACCCTCCGCAGCGGGGGGTTGTTCTGTCGACTCTTCCATCTGACAAATGCAGCAGCGGCAACAGCTGGGCTAAGGGTTGGGGGGCTGTTCGCATTGCAACAATAACCTCTAATACAATAAAAGGATATGTGCGCGAAACGGAAACTGCGTCACATAAATGCCGGGCCATGCCAGGCCAGGCCAGGCCAGGCCAGGTCCTGAGCCTTAACCGAGCCTTATCCCAAGCTGGCATCAGCTGCTATGCGGGTCCCATAATCGCATATAATTGAGGGTCGCACAAAAAACAAAAAGGAAAAAAAAACAGCGAAAATTTTGCTCTGGGGTGTCAACGACTACTCAATACTCGTTCAGAGTTCAATAACAGCTTGATGCAGGGTGTTCGACAAGAGATCAATAAGAGTTTATAGACTTCTTCGATTTGCCAGACCTGAAAATATTTTTGGATTGAAACGTGGAAGAGCTTATCAGAAGTTTTTTATTCTTCAGCTCGAAGGCTGTGGAAGAATTGAGTTATTCCGATTTGCATAACAATTATTGATTACCTTTTAGAGGAGCTTATCAGTAATCTTCATTCCATAAGTCTAGCGGAAGATATAGATATCTTCCGATTTGCCTCGTATCCTGTCCCTGTATCTGTAAAGTATGTCTTTGGTTTACCCACACAATTTGTTAGCCCTATTCTCCCTTATCGGGACACAAAACCAATATACCCTTTCTATCACTTTGTGAACGAGTATGGAAACTGGCAAAAGGTTGGGGTTCCCTTTTGGATATGGCAAATAAAAAGTATGTCAATCATTGAACACTGCAAAAAGCGAATCATGCGTGTGCAAAGCCTGTGGAATGCGAACTAAAAGGAATAAAAAGCGGTGCAAGAGGAATATCAAGCAGCAGGATAACGCGGCAAGCACGTAGGCTCAGGTTCCAGCACACACTGCTGACGAGCGAGAGTAACTCATCCGTGTGTGTGTGTGTGTGTGTGTTGAGTGTGTTGAATACTTGATGTGGCGATTTACATGTGTCGCATGTGGCAGACAGGTGAAAGGATTCGCTCAATGACTCGACATACGCCTAAGGAATGTGCCCAGAAGCTAAACTTGTAATTATTTGTGTAGGGAGGGACGTGAAAATATTTTAAAAATAGAAGAGCTAGGATATTCCGCGTCGGTTCGCAATAATAAAGTCTGTCGTTGAAAGGAAGGGTAAACGTTTGGAATAGAGGCTAAACACAAGAAATGGAATAAATTATGTCGATTTCAGGCTAGAGACTTGGGACTGGGCAAGGAACTTACGACTCTAGTAATATCAAATGGTAGAAATGCCTAAGTAAGACCATACACAAAAGTGGGGACACTTTAGGTGTAGCTTGAGAAAGAAAGAAGAAGAGAAGAGCATATGCTAATGGAGACTGAAATAACTAAAGAAGTTATAGGAAACTTAGGATCAAGTGCAATAGTTCTTAAAGGTGATCCGTCTTTTGGTTGGAACCAGATCCTGACCGAGCCAGGACTGAAGAGAACTCATTATGGTCTACAAATTGTTTATATTTTATCTGAGATATATAAATATAATTGCCTTTTCACAAGATATTTATCAAATCGAGTAGCTTTAGGCATTCATAGGTATACAATAGATCTTAAAGGTCTATTACCCAAGTCCCATATCACCATAATGTGCACGCTTTAACAGTTTGGCGATTTTAAGCGAATCAACGAATTAGCTTGACATTTGGCATAAGTCTGCTCTGCGTTTTACGAAAGTCTATTCTCGGTTATATTCCTAACTTTAACTTTCATTTTTCTGTTGAGGGAATTCTTGTGCGTTTGCAAGTCAGTGCTGTTGGCTTTCCTAAACTTCTACAACACATATGTTTTTTCTCCTCTCGGTTTTTTAAATCTTTGATTGCCTAGCTTAAATAAAACTCACACAAGTTCGGCATATCTAAGCGAAAACTTGGCGTATTACCGACTTGTTCGTAAGCTTCACTGTGGCTAAGACACATATTCTCTGATAAGACTGTCTAAAATTTCAGCTCAACTTTTTGCAATCACGCACTTTCTCTCCTCCTTTCCCCCTTTCCTTTCTCTTTCTGCAAAGTCGCCAAACTCAACAGGCGAAACTTTGCAGACAGGTTTATCACTTCATTTTATCACCGAAAAAACTTCAAAGAAGTGCGGCAAAAAGTGAACAATTCTCAATGAGGCGACTTTTTACAAAATAATTAAATACAAGAAAGAGAAATGAGAGCAAACGATAGAAAGAGAGAGAGAGGGGGCAGCAGAGTTGCAACCAGGGCCAGTGTTGCCAACCGTTGCTATAGAAAATTAGCTGAATGCAGTGTTAAAAATAGCTCTAACTAATTTAATTGCTAAAACCTGTCATAAAAAATTAAAAAAAAATAGCTAAATCATTTTAGTATATCCACCAATTACGGCCACTTCTGAAAATAGCCAAATTTGGCTATAATATAGCTATACAGACATCACAGGACCGGGCTTTGGGAATGTCATGGATGGCAAACGTTGAATGAGAGTTGGTTTATAGAAGGAGGGCGTGGCGTGGGAGGTGGCGGAGACACAGTGCCGCAAATAAGTCAACAGACGCTGCTGCTGCTGCTGCAATATGAAATGCACAAACGTCGCGCCTTGGCACCAAAGCGCCCTCTGTCTGCCCGAAAGTGCGTCTCGTGGGTTTGGGTCGCTCTTTGTCCCTGTTTTGGGGGTAAGTCGGTGCTGCATGCCGCGGATCTGCGGCGTCTGCTCCGCAAATCAAAACTCATTTCGTATGCATCACATTTCCACTTGTGACTTTTTGTTGACAACAACAACAAGAAGAACAGCAGCAAAAACTCAAAGAAATTGCCAACGCAATTGTGTAAAGATAAACAACAATTATTGCTGCTAGGTATATGAAGAGAAGCCCCTCACGCCCTCACTCATAAAGCCTCCCTCCTGGCAAAGTGTTGCAGTGCCTTGCAATGCAAATTTGATGCGCGTTTGTTAGTCCTCCTCGCACAGGATTAGGTTAGGGGTTCGGGGCAAGCAGAACGGGGGCAAATGAAAATCCACACAGGAAGCATTTGGCACAGGTCCTTCAGCAAAAACGGAACTGGGCAAATAAAGGATGCAGCTACAAAAATAGCTAAGGCGTGCAAAGAAATGTGCAAGTGTCTGAAGGCGTCTAGTGAATGCTCTGCAATTGTTTAAAAATGGAAGAGATATTGAAGAAATGGATACAAAAATGATCCAGTCAAGTTTTAAATAAGAAGAAAATATAAACAGATACTTTTGAAGCTAAACTAAAATGTGAAACAGGAAAGCCAGCTAATTAAATATTTAAAAATCGAAAGTTGGCCAAAAACAGCATCAAAGAGCGCAATTTAATTTAAAAAAAATTTTTTACTTGGCTTTCTTGGCAGATATTTTAAATATACTCGAAATTGGATGAGAATAATGGATTTAATAGAAAAACTTTAGCACACTGATATTAAAGTGCTGTAAAGAATGATACTTATGACTTTAGAACATTGCCCAACACTTGTTGAACTAAATTTTCCTAAAAAGGTAGCACTTAGTTCGGTCGAGTAAGACCTTATTTGAGTTAAGGATAGAAAATCGTGTCATCTCATTGCATCATTCGACTGACAGATCAGCCACTTAGTCCTTTGGTTAATACACAGCTCTACTTGGTGGCAAATGGGTATAAACATCAACGGGAAACCGTCATTTCAATTGCAATTTTCCAATTGGTTTGTCAAATGTGACGTGCAACACTTTTTCTACAATTGCCCTGAGGTCGTATATGCCACACAATGGCAGCTACGTGTTAAGCGCGTCATCAGACACGGCTAAAAAAATAAAAGAAAATCTGAAATATATAAGAAAAGAAAAGAAAAGAAAGAGAAAAAACCGCCCTCTCCGCCATAGACAAAAAGCCTGACAAGCACTTTAGCATGTCGCAGAACAACAACAACAACAGCAGCAGCAGCAGGAAAAGAAACAAAGCCAAAATGAAAATAAAAGAGGAATCGCAGCAGCACACGCTCCTAAGTACACCTAGGCTAACCCTATATATATATATATACCCAGAAGAGACAGGCACCTATTTAGAGATGTTGTTGCTGTTGTTGTTTCGCATTCGCACGTGTGTTTATTTAAAGAAATTGCTTCAACCGTCGCCAGACACACAGTCAGAGATCTGCTCGGTTAGTTAGCGGCAGCTGCTGGGGGTAGGATGCGGTAGGGTGTAGGTAAATGCCGGCGACAGCAGGAAATAAATAAACAAATGAAGATGAGCTTTTGAAGTGTGGCAACGTGAGGTGCCGTGATGAATGCAACCACTTCATATGCGCGTCTCGCTCCTAAAAATACTCCGTCCCCAATGGCGGGTGCTGGACGCTACCCGGAACTGTGCCCGAAACCCGACTGCTGCTCAACAGCTAACCCACTAAATGGCAATTAATTAGAGCAGCCGCCAGCAGGCGCGGCTCATTAGAGCGCGCCGCCAGCAGCTGGCGCCACAATCAAAAACGCATTTCCAGCCGAAACCCCAAGAAAACCCTGGAAAATCCATCCTAACTCATCTTTTGCATATATCTTTGTTTGTTTTATTTTTTAGTTCCCAATGAGGCGCCTTTTGGCATGGAGGCCATTCTGCTAAACGCCTCCGCGGTCTTTTTGAAGTGGAAGGCACCCGAACTTAAGGAGGAGCATGGTATGCATATTCCCCACCTCCCACTTAACCCATTTTCCCACTCATTAACCCCTGACTTTAACCCTTGTGCAGGTCTTTTGCTTTACTATCACGTTATTGTGCGCGGCATCGATACGGCTCACAATTTCTCGCGCATATTGACCAATGTGACAATTGATGCAGCCTCGCCCACGCTCGTTTTGGCCAATCTTACGGAGGGCGTCATGTATACGGTGGGCGTGGCAGCGGGCAATAATGCTGGCATTGGACCCTACTGTGTGCCGGCCACACTGCGTCTGGATCCGATTACCAAGCGGCTAGATCCGTTTATCAATCAGCGGTAAGTAGAAGATTTTTGTAAAACTACAGTGAAGCCTCACTATCGAAGATTTACAGAATATTTTAAGTTGTATATTGTGAAATCTTAAAGAAAATAGTTTGTAGAAGTGAAAATACTATTTGCTTAAAGATAGTTGTTTTATTATGAAATAAAACAAGATTTGGACTTCGAAGCTGAAGAAATATTTATAAAATACTTTATAGAGATGTTATTTATAGTGGAGTTCCACTGTATAGTTTGAAATTGCATAATCAAGGCTCACAATATTGCGCAAGGAACTTTATGGAACATTTTCTTAGAATACGTAGACTTTAGTTATAAAGAGGCTTTACTGTTTACTCAAATAACAAAATATATATAAATATTTAAAAGAGCTTTCTTATAAGACAGATTAGCATTTTTAAGCTTAAAAAGTCGTTTGATAAAGTGACATTTCACTGTATGCGAAATATATCGATTGAAATCCCAATTGCAAACAAGAAATGCTTTGGCACAGCCAACTTAACAAGCACATTCTACACTTTACCGTTGCCAGATCGTTTAGATTTTCCGTAAATTAACCAGATCTTGTTTTAATTAATTTATTTGATTTCCGTTTATCTTGTCTCTGCAGCTATCCCATCAATCAGGATCATGTGAACGATGTGCTGACACAGCCCTGGTTCATAATACTCCTGGGCGCCATACTGGCCATCATGATGTTATCCTTTGGCGCGATGGTCTTTGTGAAGCGCAAGCACATGATGATGAAACAGTCCGCGCTGAATACCATGCGAGGTGAGTACCCGAAATAACCAACTCTCTTCTTTTTTTTCTGCCCCGCCACATCCGAGCTGCATCCGTTGCGTTCAGCTGGTGGCGCTTCCTTCCTAGCTAGAATTTTTGCACACACACACACACACACACATACAGATTTACATTTGCATGTATAAATAACGCTAATTTTCCATTGTTAGCGCCACATGCACACACACACACAACAAAATAGGTGCGAATAAATATTTTAGCAGGGAGCACAGCACAAATTTTCATCCCGGGCACATAATAGAAATTAACATTTTGCACGTCACGTTCTATGCTCGGGAGTAAACCGCCTCCTCCTGCTCCTCCCCTGCCCCTCTTCAGCTGCAATTATGCATTTAGTTTTGTGTGCATTATTAACCAACAAGTTGTGTGTGTGCGTGCGTGTGTGTGTGGCGTGTGGTGTGTCCCTGGCAATGTTCAACACTTGCAGTTGGAGGCACAGCTTGTGGTCTAATTGAAATTAGCAGCATTACGAGAAACCAAATCGGGTAAGGGACTTGTGGGTGGAAGGGGGGGGGGGGAGGGAGGCGTAGGGCGTTTAGCCTGTAAACTGCCGCATGTGGCACTGATGTTTAGGCTTTCGGTTTAGCTGGTTGCACAGTAAACGCTGCTCGTTGGCTTGTGGCACGACGCAATGAACAGGGCATAGGCAAATTAAACTCGTGTGCGTGCAAATAGTATTCGATTTCGGTCTAAAGATGTGAATGGATATTGAAAATTAGGAAATGTCACTGAAGTGACTACTACTGCTAACTACTACTACTACCTTCTACTCCTACCAACTACTACTACCAACTACTACTACCTTTTTGTACCACCAAATACTACTACTACCTCCTACTAATTCTATCCAGTTTATATGTTACTAATTCTACTACTATCCACTATATCTTCTACTACTTCTTTTACTTCTACTACCACTACTACTACTACTATCCACTATACCTACTACTACTTCTACTTCTACTACCACTACTACTACTACTATTACTACTACTACTACTGATTTGACTACTTCTTCTACTACTACTACTGCTTCTGCCTACTACTAATTTTCCTACTACTGCTACTACTACCACTTCTATCAACTACTACTTCTACTAACACTACTACTAGTACTACTATTGCTACAACTACTTCTACTTCTACTACTATTGAATGTTTATATTAAGGCGCTTTCAATGCCCCTAGTCGAACGACTCGTTACCTTTATCTTTTTCCTTTTTGCTTTTGAACATACGCCAACATCTGCTAGTTGGCACATTTAATAGTCATAAAAGGTGCTTAAAATATATTTTTAAAGCGCTTAAAAAAGTCAGCTCTATGCAAACTTTGAGCGAAAGCGTATTAAGAACAAGTCCGCAAAGCCCGCATGTTGACTATTATTTTCAATTTCTATAGTTTACAAAATAGTTAGCGATGTTTTTTTCACTTTTATTTTTGTGTTCATGCTCGAAAGTGTAGACAACAACATTGCTTTTCAACTTTGGCATTGTTCAACAAGCCGCGGCTAACCGACATTTTAAAACGAGCGCGGAAAAAAGGCGACAAGTGGGCGAAAAAGAGGTGCAAAAAAGTGCATTGCATATTCATGGGCGCCAGTTGCACATAAACTAAGCAGCAAAAAGCGCAAAGCTTTTCATGCAGTTCACCTGAACAGCCATAGACAATAAAAACGCGCCCAGCCCCGCCTCGCGACGGCAACAAGCGCCATAAAATACTCGCTTGATGCGCAGTTATAACCCGGGGACAGTTTAATTGGTGCATTTTTTATGCAATAATTTTTTGTTGCTCGAAAGTATGCAACACATTTTTGCGCAAGCGACGGGCGCCAACTGGAAAATTGACAATAATTTATTTGATTTTTCACTGTGTGTGTGTGTGAGTGTGTGTCGGTGACAATAGGGGAAATTGCGCATACGCCCCCTTGACCCCTGGCATAATATTATTTTAATGCGCTGAATTTATAGCACTGCAGCGCGCAGCATTGAAATCCCATAAGCTAACCAAAATCACTTTCGCCGCAATTTCGCCAACTCTTTTTTTCAAAGGTTTACAATAAAAATTTAAATATGTTGAAAAATTCAATTCAATTCAATCAGTATCAAAAGTAAATGAAATTTCCTAAAATATTTAGAAAAGTGTTTGCTTTTGCAGCGAAATTGTTTTTGGGAACAACCCAAAGACTGCGATGGCCTTTGTTTTATATTTTTATGTCTTTTTGTTAATTTCCGGCTACAATTTATTTGGTTGCCAATTTGTTGCAAAACATTTAATTGCTCTATCTCTCACACTCTCTTGTCTCTCTCTCTTTCTCCCTCTCTCTCTCACACTGTCTCTGGTTTCTCTCACCTGCAGGCAATCACACGAGCGACGTGCTCAAAATGCCGAGTCTGTCGACGCGCAATGGCAACGGCTACTGGCTGGATGCCTCCACCGGCGGCATGGTGTGGCGCACCTCGCCCAGCGGCGACACCCTCGACATGCAGAAGGATCACATTGCCGACTATGCGCCCGTTTGCGGTGCAAGTGGTGCAAGCTCTGGCGGCGCCACCGGCAGCAGCAGCAGCGGCGGCGGCAATGGCAACGGCAACGGCAGCGGCGGCATCGATGATATTCATGGACACGCTGGCGAACGCAATCATCAGCGGTAAGTTTTTTTTTATTTTATACAGTTAGGTAGCCGGAAAATGCCGGGGCAAAGGGGAAAAAAATGAAACTGGGGACCCACTCAAAGCGAGGACGACAATAAAAATTCACCAAACTGTGAAATTGCATTTTTCTGGCGCGTCGCAAAAATGTTTTCGGCAACTTTCTTTTTTTTTTGAGAGAGATTTTTGTTTTCGTTTGGCAACGGCGCCGGGCAGCAAAATCAAGTTAGAAATGGAGATGTTGCCGCGCTATTTATGTTGATTTTTGCAGCAGCCAGTGGACAGTTCCCGGCGGCGACCAGCTCCCGGTGGACAGACAGCTCACATAGTAGTTTTCAGCTCCCCCGTTGGCACAAATGTAATTATCGGGGTGTCGGGTAGTAGTTGGGCTACCTTTCCATTTGTCTAGCTTTAAATTGGACAGCTTTAAGCTTGCCCTTGCTGCCAAATGTAGCAAACTTTTCAGGGGGGAAGTGTCTGGCATATGTGCTAAGCCTGCGTGAAAGTTGTCATTTGATGAAATATTTAACGCATTCGTATAAAATGAGCCATAAAACACATTATTGTTTACTTGTTATGGCAAATGTGTAAGTCTTTGTTGCAGGCAGCCCTGCAGCATTCGGACTTAGTTTATATGTTTATGCGAACTAGGCTTTCAATTCAACTATGTTGCGCGAACTTCACACAGCTGCTTTATTTTGCCGCAGAAAGTTTTTAAATTGCAACCAACTGATTTGGAGCTCTTTACCATATAGGAATGAAAAAAGAGTATTTAAAGCAAAAACTATTTCAATCTCCATATTAAGAATCGCAGACGTGTAAAATATTTGTCCTGTTGCTTTTTGCTTTTAATAAAACCTCGTACCTTGAGCCAGCCGAACAAATATTTTATAAATGGAAAGGTTGCCAAAACCAGCTTCAAAAACTATTTCCTGACTCTTTTTCTTTCGATTTTTATATAAAAAGAAAGGTTTCTCATATTTTAAATTTCCAAATAAAATATTCAGGAAAAAACAGAGAAAAGGCCCACATATTTATAAGACTTTGAAATTGTTTATAGTAAATAGTTTATTTAAATATATTTAGTCGCATTTATCACAAACAGGATATTACAAATTCGTCACAACCTGCTCCAGTTGCATTAAATTTTTTTATGGCGCCGACAGCTTTATTTTGTGCAAAACATTTTGGAGTACAGCCCGAAATATGTTTTCCATGTTGTTTGAATTTATTTATTTCTAAATGTTTTTTTTTTTTGTTTTGTTACATTTCGCATAATTCATTTATGTTTCGTCCGTGGAATGGTTAATCAAAGCTGGCAACATAATATGCAACACAGCAATTGCAGGCGCGGCTAATTTATTTGTCTGGCAATCAGAAGGCATAAAATAATTGTTTGCGTTTTGTAGATGTTGTTGAATTTGGGGAAAAACGTTTGCGCTATTTCGCCAAAATGGTCAAAAATCGTAATTGTTATTTATTTGTGGCAAATTTTGTGCTGGCCACAAATTACGCATAGCAGAGGTCACAGATTTAATCCAATTAAATAATTGATGCACAAGGAAGCACATCAAAAGCACACACAATTTTATAAATGTTTAAAGAGTTTTAGTTGGGCAAATGCTTCATAATAATTCCCCTCGAATTGGCCAAACAGCAAAAATCACAGCTGTCTGCCAAATTGCAATTAAATGCCAATCAAGCGTAAAAAGCTGAAGTGTGCCATCCAGCAAAAAAAAAAACAGCCCAGCAACAGCAAGTAGCATATATCAATAAAAATAAAAGCAGCAGGAAATGAAATAAATATAAATTTAAATAAATTTCGATTTATCCATAATTTAAATGCAATTTTCCGTGCGACTACTGTGCGCATAAATTTCTGCCCGACATAATTAAAATTATTTTCGCACACTTAATTAGTCATTAAAAACACAAATTGAAAATGTGCGCAATTTAACGCAAAAATTAATAATGATTGCAACAAAATTGTGCGAGCGAGCGAAATGTTCAGCAACAATAACAATAACAATTGTAATAACAATAACAATTTAAAAGTAATCACAATATAATGAGTGTCATATGTGCGAAAATAAAAATGTGAGAGTGAAAAAAAGAAGCAGCATTCGTTATGAGCTGGCGTCACTTTTAATGCTATATTAGCAGTCAGTTTAAAGATAGTTTAATACCCTTTTACTTAGAATTTCAAGAAGAATGATAATATCTAGAAATATGTATTTAGGCAACAATTTCATAATGCAAAACTTGTGAAGCAAAAGAGTAGGGAAAAAACTTATACTCTAGTTAAATATTTAAAAGCTTTTCTATAAAACTAAACCTAAGCCTGACGAACTAGTTCTTATTATAATCAAAAAGGCGAAATCTTTGACCAATTCTGCACATCATTCTAGCCAGGTGGCAACGCTCGCTGGGACTGGGGTCACCTTTACTGCAATTTAAGCAGTCAGTAAAATATGTCAGCTACGATTAAGATAGTTAAATAACCTTTTTACATAGAATTTCAAGGGAAATAATAATATCTAGAAATATATATATATGTAGACAGACTTTCATCTATGTGGGGCAAAGTTTAGGCAACAATTTCGTAATGAGAAGGTTGTGAAGAGCAAATGGAAAGAAAAAAGTTAATCATTAGTAAAATATATATACATATATAAAGCCAAACATATTTTTAGATAACTAAGCCTTAGCGCCTGACGAACTAATTCCAAATATAATTAAAAACTGTGGCATCTCTGACCACAGCATTTCAGCCTGGTGGCAACGCCTGCTGGAACTGTAGCGAGTTATTCCAGCGAGTGATATTCACTCGTCGCTTAGCGCAAAACACTTTCAATTAGAATTCAAAATTTTGGCATTTTCATACACCCAATTATTCAACTCCACGTTTTTGTAAACCCAATTCGCTGGAATTAAACACAATTCTTCACAGCTTGGTCAAACTGCGTTCCATTTAAACTACTTACAGTCAGCTATTTTTTTTTTTTTAAACATAGTTTCCACTGATATTTATCTCTCACCCCAGCTGGCCCCCCTTTAGTGCGGTACAAAGGACTCATTCAGTGCAGACATTTCCCTTCGCCAAATGAAAACTCATTAAGGGCATTAAAAGCGTATTTTGAAATGCACGCACCGGAGTTTTTTCACGTCGACTGCGCCATGGCGACTCCATCAATACGCCGTATATACATACATACATATTTTAGTCAGCTTTTAGCTGGTTTCGCTTTATTTTTTTTTTCGCTTTCCCTCCGGCTGCTTTTTAATCCGCTTTCAGTATTTAAATACGAAAATAATGTTAAAAATTTTGTATTTGAGGGTGAATATTTCGCTTCTTTTCCATACCCTGTAATTAAATGAAAGGTAGGAGTGGGTAGCTTAGGTGCTGAGTGTCTGAACTTATAGGAATATATACTTTTTATTTTTTTTTGGCATTAACAATTGAGTATAGTTCGAAATATTTATTTGTCTGTCCAACTGGCGATCTTAATGAATAGACCATTCATATCAGGGTCTCAGGAACTATAAGGACTAGACCCCTGAAATTTGGTATCTGGCTGCTTAAATTCAAATAATTTTCGATTTACAAAAAATTTAGTTAAAAAAAAAACTCCAAATTATAATATTGAGATATAGTCTTGATTTGTATATTATATAGAGCTTGAAATCTCATTATTTTAACCTAAAAACTGCATAGAAAACACTGAGCTGGAAAAGTATATGCCTTTAAGGCATTCATAACTTGCCTACAGGGTATATGCAGAGCAATCATCTAGCACTTATTCTCATCAATTCCTGCTTAATTTTCAGATAATTAACATTTAAATGAAACACAATATGTATTAGGAAGCATTACACATATTAACTGAGTATCTCCTTGTCGATCACTTTTAGCTTTAGCTTTTTTTCTTTACTTTTTGCCCCTGCTTATTTATCTGAGTGCGTGAGTCGCGTTCAAAGTGGAGTCAGTTGGAGCTGGTGATAAGTATTATCGCTGCTTAGAGCCGGGTCCATTTGCACAACATTAGTTGGGTTAACAGGCAGCTGGGAGGAGGCGGAAGGGCGGGGGGCAGTTGGGCGCTCAGGTGTGAATATGTAAAATGTTAAATCCGAAATAAATTCAATTTTTACACATGAGCACGCGTCGCTGCATGAACGCTGCTCGTGGATCTGGTTCCGGGCGCAGGCGAAATGCAAATTTCCGCTCCGACTGCAGACCGCACGCCATAAATTCCCAGCCAAGCAGCGACCGCGCACTGCCCGCCGCCCAAAATATCATACGAACCGACAAATTTATAACCGAAAAATGTTTTCCCTGCTGCCACTTCAGGCCCCTTCCACAATCCTTTCGTACGTTTTGGGCGTGGGAATATTGTAATAAACGAGGACGGCAATAAATGTTTTTCCCCTTTTGTTTTTATCTCTTCATTTGCAGCTACGTGGGCGAGTACTCCAATATACCCACCGACTACGCGGAGGTGTCCAGCTTTGGCAAGGCGCCCAGCGAGTATGGACGCCACGGCAATGCCTCACCCGCGCCCTATGCCACCTCGGCCATACTCAATCCCGGCCAGCAGCAGCAGCTGCAGCAACAGCAGCCGCGTTATCAGCAGCGTCCAGGCCCAGCTGGGCTGCCCGGCTCCTATGGCATGCAGCGACCCATGCATCCGCATTACCAGCCACAGCAGCAGCTGCAGCAGCAGCAGCCACACTCCAGCGCGAACATATACCAGCAAATGTCCACCACCGGCGAGATCTATCCCAGCAATACGGCCGGCGCGCGCTCCGTCTATTCGGATCAGTATTATTATCCCAAGGACAAGCACATGCATATGCACATCACGGAAAATAAGCTCAGCAACTGCCACACCTATGAGGCGGCGCCCAATGGCGGCCATCAGCAGCAGCAGCAACAGCAGCAGCAGCAGCAGCTGGCATCGACTGGCGGCGGCAACTCGACCCAATTTGCAAGCGTGCGGCGACAGCAGCTGCCACATGGTTGCAGCATTGGACGGGACAGTGCGCGCTTTAAGGTGCTCAACGCCGGCCCGGCTCAGGCTCTGGATCAGACGCTGGCCAAGAGCCATCAGCAGAATCTGCTTGACTTGGATGGCTCCTCCTTCTGTTACAATGGCTTGGCGGACTCTGGCTGCGGCGGCTCACCCTCGCCCATGGCCATGCTCATGTCGCACGAGGATGAGCACGCGCTTTATCACACGGCCGACGGCGATCTGGATGACATGGAGCGTCTCTATGTCAAGGTCGATGATCAGCAGCAACCGGTCTCGCAGCAGCAGCAACAGTTGCTGCCCTTGGTGCCGCACTCGCAGCCACATCAGCAGCCGCTCGAGCCGCAATCCTGGCGTGCTCAAGGCACACGCGGCGGCCGCAAGACGCACGCCGAGGAGCCGCTGGCCAAGGAGGCCAGCGAGCTGATCTATGCGCCCGGCAGCGTGGCCAGCGAGCGCAGTTTGCTGAGCAACTCCGGCAGCGGCAGCAGCAATCAGCAGCCTTGCCACAATGTCTGACCCCAGCTGGGTCAGCTGTCGGCCCAGACGCAGGCGCAGGAGCAGCTATATGCGCGGGAGGTGCGCGAGCTGCTCGCTTGGTGCGAGCGCTTCAACAACGGCAGCGCAGAGAACTTTGAGTAAGCGAATAACTGGGCGCATACAGCTTGCGCTGACTGTTGACAGTGCTTTCAAGTTGAGTTCAGGCGAGTCAGTTAACCGAAAGGCATAGAATCCACAGAATTAAATAGAGAGAAGTATAGAAAGCCAAGTGAAAGCTTTCAGTTGAGCTTTAAAACTTGAGATAAAGCTTACTTAAGGCTCTCATTCGCTTGCCTTGACTTGTTTTTCATCAAATGTGAGTTATAGAAAAGTAAGAACAGAGCAAGTAGCTTGAACTTTAAAAGCGTTTGGTAAGAAAAACAGTCTTCGGAGCATAGTACTTTTTAAAAAACTGAGCATTGAGAAAGCTTCTTAAAAAGCATAAGAATATGCGCATTTATATGCTCGAAAGTTCGTTTAAGCTTCAATGAGCTTTTAAGTTTACGGCTCTGCCTTTTAGCTGTAGTGCTCAAATTTAAGCGATCTTAGCTGCATTCAGTCAATGCAATTAAGCTTGCTTAAAGCTGTACTTCTCCCTTAAAGCTCTTTAACAAATTGCACTTAATACCTGTTAAGTGAGCTCGACTTATGCGTGATGCTCTACTGCGAATTTGATGCGTATTTGGTTTATGATTCATGTGTATTGTTATAACTAAATTTCTCGGATGTTTTTTAATGCCCATCCTAAGTGCATTTGTCACTAATGCTGTGACTAAGACTGAGAGCATTTGTGAGTTAAGTTAATAATTTTAAAAAGGGAAGGAACGCAAGAGAATTACTCTTAAAGGTTTCGTTCTTCAACTACTCATAATGAAGCTGAGTTGACTGTTGACCAATCCAAGCAGCGATTGGCTCTATGCTAGTGATAGACTAACTACCCACACATCCTATCTGTCTCCCTCCCTCGCTCTCTATCTAGCTCTCCCTCTCTCTCTGCTTTACTGCGCAGCTTAGGCTTAGTTTTAGCTATAGATGATTGTAAATGTTAAAGAAACGTATGATAAGTTCCTCCAAGTATGCGGGCAGCTAAAGCCGGCGCTTAAAGTTATACTAATTGGTTAGTTAGATTGTTATTAAACAGCTTAATCAATAACTAAATATAATAAATTATGTAAAACTATTTGGTAATTGTATATAATGTATTAAGCTAGACATATACGAAATTTCAATTGTATTCGAATATGCAAGTAGACAACTATGAATAACAAGTGAATCAAATTGTGCATATAGTAATTTAAATATCATTATAGCAGAGCCCTTTATTTAGTTGTTAGACAAATACATATATATAAAATATAACATATAACTATATATACAACTACTTATGTAATTAGTGCGTAATTACCACCAGGCATATATAACAAAACTCCTTCAATTTAATGGCTAAACACAATTTGTAATTCCCACTTACTTTCTAGCTGCCGCACTAATGAACTGTACTTTGGCATAAGGCAGACAATTAGATATGCATTTACATATACATATGTGACTGCCAGCCCCATACCATATACATATATACACACACACATACATATATATATTCAAGCATATAGCATGAAACATAAAATATTAAATGCATATATTATAAAATATTCGTATGTATGTTGTTTATCAATTAGAAAATACTGAAATTAAGTGTATGTCTATGTGTAATTATTGATATTGAATACGCGTATTTACAATGTAGCAATTAAAATGCAAATAAAAATGCCATAATTATGAAATTCAAACACAAAACAATCGTATCGCATATTTATTCCATAATTGTTTGCATTGCAAAGTGAACTAAAGTCAATACAACCGCTGCAAATGGCGTTTTTTTTGGTAAACGTAATGAAAACATTATTAATGCTCTCTAATAAACATCTGTTCATAAATCAATTTTAGTTCTTATAGATCGAGTCAATACCTAATGGTGTGCAGCTGAAAATTGGAAGAAATAGGCGCGATTATATTTTATTTTGCGCAAGAAAGTAGGCAACATTATTTTACATTTTCAATTGAGCTACGTTAAAAATGCGGTCAATGCTCATGATAGCAAGAAAGTTGCTAGGTTCTTTCTGAGAAATAGCTACATTAAATTTAATATTTGAAAATCAAGACACTTCTATGCGGCTGATGAATTTACTAAGCGATGACATTTTATTTTTAGCGCATAAAAGTAGGCAACACATGTTTTAAGTACAAAATTTATATAGTTAGCATTGCTTCTAGATCCCTTTGTTTAATATGTATATATTATTCTACAAACAAGAACTGCGCTACCTATAATTGGCGGCTATAGCTAGTTACATATATGTGAGGGAAATTTAACTCTTAGGACTGACAGCTATATCAACTAAGGTAACAAAATTAGACAATAGCCCGTAGTGGAAGGATTTACTTATAAATTAAAGTAAATGGATCTGCATATTACATAAGAGAATATATATAGGCATCTTATAGGTATTAAAGATAGCTCCTAAGACATTCTTCGCATTTTAACCCTAGAAATCCAAATTCCAGAGAAAAAGGTTACCAGCTCTTCTGTCAGCTACAGCATCATCTCGCTGGTCGATTTAAGATCTTAAAACCCTTAAAATCAGTTTATTAATCTTATTCAACTTCATTGGGCATTCAATTTAGCCTTTTAGCCTTTTAATTTAAAGATATTTTGGACAAAAACTTTATCAGCGCACAAAAATAGGCAACACAAACTTATATTTTAAAATACTTTTCCCCAAACAATCGCTCAGGTGTAGAACTAATTGAAAAGTCACCACGCGCCACGTTTAACAGCTACCCATGCAACAGCTACCCCCATTTAGCGCTCCCCGCTTTGAATCTAGTTTCAACAAAGCAACTCGTTTTTAATTAGCTGCAAAAACCCAAATTATGCATATACCCAGATTCAATGTGCGTGTGTGTGTGTGTGTGTGTGACCGCGCCCATTTTAACTACAAAATAATTACGTGCTAGGCAATTAATTGCCAAGGGGTTAGAGTACCACACACAAAAAAAACTCACGTGCGCCATGTGGCAACATCCGGCAGCCATTTGTTACAAATCGACAGCCACTTCCGGTGCGCGTATGTATGCCCTGTTCGGGGGGCAAGTGGCAAATGCGAGCATACCAACATTTGTTATGAGCGGTTTGTTGTAACATGCCGGAAAAATAAAAAGGAAAATGCATTACAAAATGTGCTTAATGCAAATTTAATCACTGTATGACAGATGGGCCAGGGGGGATGCTTACAATTGCATATGTTGTCTATGGTATTAGAGAACTCTGTTGTAAATATGATTACTAGAGAATTACAGCATAAAATGGTATTATGCCCTATAAATAAATAAACAGCATTTATACAAGTACAAGTGTACATGTGCACAGTGGAAATCGCACAAATGTTTTGTTTCGAATAAAAATATATATAATAATATATGATGAATAAATAAATATATAAATTACAAAAATAAAATAAAAGTAAGTAAAATACAAAATTTGGTTAATATTTCCGTTCAACGTGTTTTAAAAAATTTAATATAGTGGTTCACAATTAAAAACAATTCGAACAGCACAAATAGTCCGATTAACACATAGACAATCGTAAAATGATTTGTTATAAATAAATAAACAAGAAATTATTAACAAAAATTTATTCAAAATAAAAATGAATTTAAAGAAAACGAAAATATACGATAAATAAATACACATATAAATTTTATATATATATAACAAAAACAAAAACACAATAAATATAAATATTGATAATTTAATTATTTTTAAAATAAAATGAAATTAAGCATAATAATTGGTTAGCCGTAAAAATGTAATAAAAACTTAGAAGCAATTTTTTTACAATTAAGAAAAAATGCCAGATGAACAACATAAATTCTCCGTTAAACACATATTCGCATATTCTCTTTATGCTCGCATAATGCACTTGTTAAAAATTTGCGCAATTTCTGCCTCATTTTAAGCTGGAGGAGAATCGATTTTTTTTTTATGCCATGGCACTTGCTGGCAATCAATTATGTAGAAAATGTTGCCAGTTCATAAAAGTTGCTGTCATTAATATGTAAACAATCGCAGCAATTGTTTTGAAAGTGCCTTCCAGGCCCAGAGACAACAACATTATGATGCCGCTACCCGCCTGTTGCCTGTTGCCTGCTTACAATGTGACTCTGCTGCTGCTGCTGCTGCTGGTCCTGGTGCTGGTTGGTCCTGGCTGCTGGCGAGCATAAAAACAACACATAATCATTTTATTAGCAGCAAGGCGAAACGGCGGACGCAGTGAAGCGGAGGCAAAGGATTCGGGCGGATTGTTCATCCTGTTGCCATTCGTTCGAAATGACTGAGCAACTGTGCGGAGTACGTGTTGGCCATGTTTCACTTGTTGTTGTTATTGTTGTTGTTGTTAACGCCACTTGAGTTAACATGTTGCACCAGAGATCCCATCATGTGTCAAGTGTGATGTTAATGTGTGTGTGTGCGCGTGTGTGTGCGTGTGTGACTCGGCCAGCACGTGGAAGTTTTCTCGTTAGCGAAACTAATTATCCGTTGTCGCTGTCAGCAAAATAACCTTAAACGGTAGGTGACAGCCGCACGCAGCTCTCTGTATATGTGTGTGTGTTAGTTGTGTGTGGAGCACTTGAAGTAGAGTTCATGTGCATAGCCTCGTGTATGTGTGTTTGTGAGTGTACGGGTGACAAGACCCACACTGACCGCCATTTACTGCCACAAGAGCTTCATCAGGCGTGGTAAAGAACCAATTCTAAGAGCTATAACATGTATAATGCAGATTTAATCCTAGCTTTGCCAATGAGGAATCAAAGGATTTATAAAAAAGAAACCAATTTCTTAATCAGACAACAGCAAACAATTAAAAAGTGTTGTACCAATTTAAATTTGTTATAATATTAAATCATTTTCTTTAGTATCTTAACGTGGCTGAGAGTAAGGGGCTTTGCATGCTTAACATACATCTATATACATCATACAACAAACATAACATCATACACCTAAAGACCCTTAAATTCTATCTCCCGTAAATACTGCTACTCGTGTTTTTGAAAATCATTTGAATATGTTTGATATTTTCCAAGGCCCTGAAATAAACTGTCGAAGAGCAGCTGAAGCATACACTATCAAGACATAGGTCAAAATTTCCCACCCCATAGCTCGCTAAAATATCATCAGATTTGCATGAGGTTTGGGTCTTTGTTTGACATCTAAAGCTGGCAAAATTATTCGTGGGCAAAATTCATGTGAAAATTGTACCCTCAAATATCCTACTCCCCTACTCAACCGATTTTCATAAGGCTTGGCTTTTATTTTCAATTATTTCGATAGATAAGGATATCAGTATATGGTATTTCTGCCTTCTGATTTCAAAGTATTTCAAATGCTTATTTTCTTAATTCTGTATTTATTTTTTTTATTCTATAAACCTTAACAATGTTTAAGTCCCGGAAACGGCTCTTCAGACAAGTCCACAATATTGAACTTCCCATTACAATTGAATAGACGCCAGAATTTATGCGCGCAGCTCAGCTCATAGAAATGCAATCAACGTAAATGTCATTGGCCCGAGCCTGTTAAGAAGTAGCTGTGGGGCTGACTAAAAAGTCATTGGGCCAACCTGTGCGCAGGTGGGGCAAATAGGAAAGAAAAAAAAACAACGTCAGCAAATGGGAAAACTGTTTAAGTAAATTAACAATTCATTGCATGAAAAGTTTTGAAATTTTGTTGGCGCACATAGGAAACAGAACTCACTGCGCTGGACGCCCCATTGACAAGGCAGTTTTATTGTTAGAAAAAAAAGAAGAAAAACGAGAGCTGAAAAGTGAGTCAAACAAACAAAAACACAAACAAACAAAAACACAAACGGAAGCTGGCAAACAAGCGGAAGGCTCTGCCACTCAACTAATGGCAGCATAATGCGTTTATTGTGGAATCACGAGCACAACAACAGCCACAGCAGCAACAGACAGTCGCAGATGTGCGACCAGTTAGTCGCCGGGAAAAGCCCAGGGAAAGCCCCGCAGTGCCACACACACCCCCAAAAGCAAGCGAAGGGCGGAGCGCGCGCGATAACCGAGCGCAAATGTCAACGCAAAAGTCAATCAGTGCGAGGTGGGGCAGGGCGGGGGCATTGAGGGTCGCAGACTGAAACTTAATAGAACCGTGTGCGATGCCGCCTCCTCCCCCCCCTGCGAAAAACACGCACGCACTTTTCAATGGGGCAGCAGACAGGCGGCAGACAGCGCCGCATTCAAAATCAATTCAATTGAAATACATTTTTTTCATTCATTCTTTATTTTTGTTGCAGCTTTTGGGAATTGGGAGACCTTCAACCTCTTACCCCAGAGAACAATGGCCCCAACTGCCGTGTCGCTGGTTTTTGTTTGCTGCTTGAAAAGTGCCCAATGAAAATTGCCGAAAAACTGTTCATTTTCATTTTCATTTTGAGTGGCGGAAATGAATGATTTCCGCCTGCAGCCGCAGCCGCAGCCGCTAATGAGACGTAATGTGACGTCCATGACTGGCCCGCATAGACCGGAGCTCTACATAAGTAGAGCTGCCAACTGGTAGCTCTTCTGCTGTCTCATGCTTCTCCCCGCCTACACGCCTGCCTTCACCCAAATTAATTGCCAATGCCCGTCATGTCGTTTGTCAAAAGTTGTTGCATACTTAGCGGCGCGATGACAGACCAAATGAGTGGCAGCCACTTTGTGGCAGAGCCTCAACTTCGCCAGATACTTATAGCTCATTAAACAGGCGCCGGTCGAAAGTGCAAGTCACGCCACGCCCATAAACTGCCAATCGGCTGACAGACAAAATTTTGAAAACGTTAAACATTTAATAAGTCACATAATGAGGCGTAACAGAAAAAGATTTCAAAAATTCTCTTGTAGGTTACTGTACTAAACAGAAGGAACCCTTCCATGCGATTCTCATGAATTCTAGTAACCCCTGTTATTTTCAAACAATAAGTTTTTCGGGTGTTTATTTTCGTCTGTGTATATAATGTGAATTTATTTATACATATCTGTAGATATGTGGATATATATGTATATATTTATATACATATGTATCTATGTATGTATGTATTTATGTGTGCATGTATATGCGTGTGCATGTGTATGTGTATGTTACATGTATGATGCATGATCACTTATAATACACGCAGTCTAATTTGTTCGCGCTCAGCTGCAAACCACAAATAAGTTATTTTAACCCTTGCCTTTCTACGCGATTCTCATAAATTCAAGTAAGCTCTACTGCTTTTCATGCAATAGCTACCAGTGTTTTTTTTTGTGTTTATTTTCGTGAGTGAATATAAGTGAATAATTTGTGTGCATATGTATATATGAATGTATGTGTATGTATTTATGTATGTATATATGTGTGTATGTATGTGTGTATGTGTGTATACATGCATTTATGTATTTATGTATGTATATATGTATGTATGTATGTATGTATGTATGTATGTTTGCATGTATGTATGCAAGTGTGTATATGTGTATGTATGTATGTATAAATGTATGAATGTATGCATTTTTGATGGACCATCTATTATAATGCACGCAGGGTAAGTTTCCGCTCAGCTGCAAATTCATTTCAACTGTTGTCCCTCTATGAGATTCACATAAAGTGAGCAATTCTAATATTCTTGCATTAAATATAAGTGTTCATTATTGTGTGTTTATCTACTCTGTAACAATAAGAGTGAATAGATTTTTGTTCATATGTAAGTATGTAGTTATATATACATGCATTTTTTTTTTATTTTAAGTAAAACTTACAAGATTTTAAGGTGTTTTTTATTAATAAGTTGAGTAGTTAACCTTTTAATCTGTATCTCTGCGCATAGTCTCATCCTTGTTTATAAGCTTGTATTCTTATTTTCTTTTTCTCCTTCTCCGTCGCTTTTTTTTCTTTTCCTTCTCTTGATCAGTGTATATTATATTTAAGTTACAAGTGGATAAAATTAATTGCTAAGTACGGTTTTTGTTCTTTCATTTGTTTAATAGAAGTCACTATTTTAAATCTTATAAGTACGAACTGCGTCGACATTTTCGATTTCAATCTTTTGTTTGACCACTGTCTGGAGCTGTTTGACCAAAGCTCAATTAATTACCTTCAAGAAATGCTTAGCCAGATTTGTAAATCTTTGGACAGGCGGCACATTTGTCACACGCTCGCTTTCATCAGCTCCATCATCTTCATTCAGCTGCGTTCATTCAATCCATTTATAAGGAGTGCAGGGTAGCTACCCTTAAGCTGAGTTGCCAAGTTTTGTGTAGTGCTGAGCTTTTCAATATTAATTGCATAGCTTGGGATTGAGCAAGGGACATCTTTGGGGGTCAGCGCAAACACAAAGGCTTTGACCCATGTCCTGCTGCCTGGACTTTTGGCTTTTGATGAATGGACAAGAATTCGACATGGCATGAATGAGCATTTTAAATAAATTAGTTGTATTACAGTTGCATTTGATTTTCTTTTCTATTTTTTTTTTTTGTATGAGAGCAAATAAATTACGTTGTCAAATTGAATGGGTCCTGATAGAGAACTTTGATTAGCTCGCCTTAAGACGAGTTGATAAATCAAAGTAAAAACCCACACAAAATGTGCAGACGTTTATATAAAAATTAAATATACATGAGTAAGTAGAAAACTTCGTAAACGAAATTCACTTAAAGTTTAATTAGAAGGCACACAGGCCAGCCAAAAGAGTGGAACGATTTATGCCTCCGGGTTATAAATTAAGATAATAAACCACCAAATTGTTATAAGTTAATTAAGCTAAATGAAAAGCTCTTAAGCATCAGGCGGCGAGGCACCAGGACATCCAAGACTCCCAAGGATCCAATGATGAACCGAGACCATCAAGGTGAAGTTGGGTGAAAAAAAAATATGCCATAGTTATAACTGAAAGCAGGTTGAAGGATGTCGGCTGAAGTATGAGGAATGACGGCCAAAGCAGCCACCAAGGACTGGAGCCTGAGAATGCAGCAGTTAGCTCGACCTGAAGACAAATGTCTGGCAATTTGGCTAAATGGCAAAACTCGGATAAGTAAAACAGTAAAACATGCACAGGAGCATAATAAAGACAATAATTATTATTGTCATGTGTGTACACTTTGAAAAACCAGCGTGAACTAAGCAAGTATAATATAATCGATATATAGAAAGATCAAATAGATATATAACAAATAATTACAAGACAAACAAAATTTCAGCATAGATTGTAGAAGACTAACATAAAGTATTAAAGGACTATACAATGGAATATAATTCGAAAATTTTTTTTGAAAATGTTAACGAGCGATAGTATTTGTATTTAGTTCAGCTATAGATTTTTGATTGTTATCAGAGTACAGTAAATCCTTTTGGTTCCACATAGTTATCTTGCAGTTCAAGGAACGAACGAATTATTCAAAACATTTCCAAAAGTACCAGCATTCCATTTATTTTTTTAAGTTATTTCTTCATTTTAAGCCTTTCCTCTTAATGTTTAAGATAAAAGGAAACATTTTACATCTTCCTATTTCACTTATCAAAATAATTGCTTCTGCGATCGGCTGAAAATGTTTCTTAAAATATTCTTTACTTTTTTCAGTGTATTCTAACAAAGTTTCTGCGTGTCTTCATAAAGGGAACTTTCCTCAACCGAAATGCCTGACAGACATCGTGCGTTAATTATGGCCATCTGCGAGACGACGCCAGACGCTCCTCAAATAGCATTAAGGAAATTGCCTTGAATCGCATACCTATGCGAACACACAGACACACACACATACACACATTTGCAAATAGTTATTTGTTGTTATTGTTGTTTAGCTGTCATTGTTTGGCCATCAACTGTCTGAGTCGGAGAACCGCTTAAAGGCTTTGCGCATATTTAAACTGAGCCGCTTAATGTTGGTAACTGGCTGGTTGGGCTTCTGACTGGGGCTATTACAGTACTCGTTATTGACAATATGATGTGCTGATTGGCATATTGAGCAGTTGCCAGCAGACTGACAATGCTCTAATAGTTTCCAAAGAGGTAGTTTGCTTAGCAAATATAACTGTAACAAAATTGAAAATTGCGTTATGTTTGGTTAGCTAACAACTATTACAAAAATAAAAATAACAAAATACTTTAATAGGGAGTTCTTCCTTTGAAAACTCTTGGAATTGATTTAAAATTCATAAAATTTATAAACAATGCCTAACAAGCTCAGCTCGACTCAGACAGTTGATGGCCTAACAACTATTACAAAAATAAAAATAACAAAATACTTTAATAGGGAGTTCTTCCTTTGAAAACTCTTGGAATTGATTTAAAATTCATAAAATTTATAAACAATTCCTAACAAGCTTTAAGCCGAGCTTTCACACAGATACAAAACTCGCACGCTTATATTCGACCAAAGCTCAGCCACTTGCATTGCTTATCTATAGAGCTTTTGAAAGCTCACTAATACTGTGACATCAATGTGAATGCTTATCGTTTCAATTAGCAAGCTGATGCTTAAATCAAGCAGCTCACTTAAAATATTAAAAGTCCCAAGAGGTAACTATTATAATTAAACCAATGTACATGACCAAATCACATGCCAAAACATGTTTGCCAGCAGTTGCCTCAAGCACACAAACACACACTCACACACAACCACACACAACTACACACAGATGCGTAGGCAAACAACTGATATGGGAAACACTTGGAGCATGGAGCAGAACAGATTGAAGTACACGTTTAAGTTCGTCTAAAGCCACACGATATTTGCGAATGACAGTTTATATTCAGTTTCAGAGCTGCGCTGATTAAACATTTAATGTGGCAGCCCTGGTCTTGTGCCCGAGGCTAGCTACTTGGTATTGACAAGGGACGTTTGGAGTACTCTGTCTGAATGATTTCTTTCTCAATAATATGAAATGTGAATTCTTTGACGCTTTTGATTCGCACTTTGCTGCAGGCCACATTGTGTTGGGCATTGTTGTGCACAGCAGACAGCACGTTACCCATTTTTGTTTATTTATGTTGGGGATACGAAAAGGGAGTCCACTTCAAGTCTGTTGTAAACTTGTACGTGAACGTAAACTTTGTTAAATACACAAAATTAATTTGATTACAAAATTACAAAGCAGTTGAGCGCCTCCGGTTCTGATTTGTTGTTCATCTATTTATTATACCCTGTTTTCATGCTAGGGCCGAAAGGGGCATGGCAAACTTTTTCATATACATCTATTTTATAGGGGAAAAGACCTCATAAATAAAAAAATGTATTATCCTTTATCCTACTTAAAAACAAAGATCATTTGGCTATGCTTTCTTATGTTTCCAAGCCCTCCAAATGTGGCAAAAAAACGACATTTTTTACCCTTTTTTCTTAATTCTCGTACTTTTCGGAAATTAAAAAGGTGTACCCCTACATTCGAAGACTATTTATGTATTTTACATAATACATAAGATAAAGTCTTGATATGACGATATGACTACCTTGACTTCTTTACGAGGTGTTACCTAGTCGAGCACTTTCCCTTTGTGAATTCCAACTTGTTAGGGGTTGTCTATTCTAAAATGTGTCAAAATTTCGCTAAAATATTTGACTGCTCATCGAGGTGTTGGCTAAGTGTAGCCGCAGGTCGAAAGCAACTCATCTTTGAGAGCTATGAGCAACAAGAAAATAATAATAATAAAAAAAAGTGAAGAAAACTCAAGTGTTTCGAGCAGCTGTTCGAGTGCTCTTCAAAATTTAATGAGTTGTATCTGAGTTGTCTGCTGCCCCAATCTGATATTTGTGGAAGGTATCCTCTTAGTTCAGTTTTGTTGTCAACTGCAATTTGTGTGCTTAACGCTGCCTGAAATAAGATTTCGGTAGCGTCTGCTACTCATGTGGTTATTGGAGCTTACTGTAATGGAATTTTTAAGTGAATGTCACAAATGTAGACACATCACAGCAGCTGCTCAAATATGCAAAGACTTTTGCCCACACGCAGACACACCTCAACGGCTTATTACGTATACGACCTGCTGCTTTTTTTTCTTTCATATTCGCGCCCCAAAGTATGCAGCATAAATATGTGGGGAGTACTTATTTTGTAGACAATAGCGATTTTGTGTTTATTTGAGCTTATATGCACATCATCTATCATCAAGTTAACACAACAGCACACACCCTGCCACACACACTCACCCGCACACATACGCACTGAGCAGTTACTTTTGTGCCCGCATTTTCAGCTGGAGCTGCATCAATTTTCATAGTTCCATTATTATGATTGTTATTAACTTAAATAGAAAATACTTGACTGTTTCATAAATCTTAACGCTCAGCCCGCCCGTTGCGCTGCCCTCAGCCTCTCAGACTCTCTCTGAGGGACCGCTCCTGTTGGCCTGGCAGCGCTTTCCATCTCGGGTTGGGGTCATGTTGCGTCAAGTAGATTTATGTTGTGCGAATATGCGGGTGTGAGCTGTGTAATTTACAATGATGAGTTCTGTTTTGATTTATTTTTGTCAACGACTGTTTCGAGCAGTTTCTTTTTTATTTGCTTCTCAAAAATCATCTACTCAGCAACTTTAATAATTTGTGTAAATGGGAAAATGTTTATTAAATGTTGTGTACAATTTATATGCTAGTCTTAAAGCTTTATAACGATTAAGAAAATTATATATGTATTATATAATCTTAACATTGTAGTAAGAGCTGGAAAAAGGTATGTTGCCATAAACTTGGCAATATTTTCGTGGTATCGTTTTCGCATGATTTTAAGGGCTATAAAATGAAAGAAACTTGATCTGTACATACTCTTACATATAATTTATATGTCAAATTTGGTGGTCTAATAACAGAATTTCTTTATCGAAGATATCATATCAGATTTGTCAAAATTTTGAGTTTTGAGAGTTAAAGAAATTGGTTAAATTTTCACAAAGTTACAAAAATGGACAAATACTGGGAATTATCATGGACCTAAGAACTACATTAATTTGGCTAATCGCAAAAATTCAATTACCGCATGACAACTTATTTAAATGCAAAAGCAATTTGCGTTTCACCTAGAAAATTAGGCAAGTAATTACACGATGCGCGGGCAGAGGGGGGAGGAAAGATTCGTGTGATTGTGGAAAGAACAACAGACGTTGACAATGGAGACGAGGCGAGCTTCACAAAAGGCGCAAACTTTTAATAAATCCGCAAATTACTTAATAAGCAACTCCTTTTTGCGGTGACGACAAATGCGATAAGGCCAAAGGATAAAAGACGCGACCATAAACAAAGCGCCGTAAACTATGCAACGTTTGCAGCGTGTGGTGGAGTCTGGTGGGGTGGGCGGGGCTGTGGTGGGTTTGTGCGTGTGTGAGTGCAACTGGAAATGTGGAAAGGGCAGAATGGAACTGGGCTGTTTAGCATTAAACCAAATTGCGGCAGATGGCGCTTAAGCAAAACAAGAGCAGTCAGAAAGAGAGAAAGAGAGAGAGAGAGGGAGAGCGAGCATGAGCGAGAGCACATATATCACATTGTAGTTGCTGGTAAAAATGTTCGCATAAGCGATTTTTATTTCGCTTTTGTAAGTTAATTTGCGCACTATTGTCCTGCCCGAGGGGTTGTAGTGCGGCTCCAGCTCCTTGTTGCTGCTGCTGCTGTTGTTGTTGTCCTTTTTGTTGTTGTTGTTGTTGTTGCGGATGTTGTCGCATTTCATGTCTAGCTGGGGTACGAAGCGCTTTTGTGCTGCGTCGCCTTTTGCACTTTTTAATGTAATTCAATTTCAATGAAATTTAATCGTCCGTACATGCGGTCTCCCCCTCCCGCTCCCGGCCCCCTTACCCTCGACGGCCCGCTCAGCTGCCCCATGGCTGGCATTTTAACATTATTTGCGTCATTTGTGGTGGTTAATTTCAGTGCGCGCTTTTACTATTCAATTATGTTGCCCCCACCGTCGATC